AGAATTTCTTCCTAATGTCCAGCCTAAACCTGCCCTGTTGCAACTTGCAACCATTCCCCTGGTTCTGTCCCTAATGACCTGTGAGAAGAGACCAGCACCAACCTCTCTACAATGTCCTTTCAAGTAATTGTAGAGCATGATGAGATCCCCCCTCAGCCTCCTCTTCCTCAAACTGCACAGACCCAGCTCCCTCAATCGCTCCTCACAAGGTCTGTTCTCCAGGCCCTTCACCAGCTTTGTTGCCCTCCTCTGCACTCGCTCCAACACCTCGAGATCTCTCCTATACTGAGGTGCCCAAAACTGAACACGACACTCAAGGTGCGGCCTCACTGGTGCTGAGCACAGAAGGAGTACTTCCATCAACTGGGGATTTACAATGTTAGTCTTACTCAAGGTGAAGGGCAGGTTCAGGATCTGCAATAAGCAAGTTAAGGTACACGCAAGAGAAAGGAAAGCCCTGGGAGGAAGAGGAGCTGAGATATCCTGGCACAGACAAGGGCAGCAGGAGGTGCAGCACAGTGTAAGGCTCTAGCAAATGGTTCAGCGCGTTTTCTGCTTCAGTTTCTCAGCACTGAAAACAGCATCTCAGGTTTAAGTACAACTCGAAGTTACTCAAAGGATACTACTTCTGTAGGTAAGGCATCTTTTCTGCCCCGTCGTCACATAACCGTAACACAACCAGAACAAACAAAGTCAAATCATTCTCGTTTAAGCAGGCACGATCCAGACTAAAATATCTCTACCAGGAAATCCATGACTAAAGCATGATCATAATCCTTTTCACAACCTCATGATCTTTTCCATGTGACTGTCTCATACAATACTACTAATACATTACTTTGAAACTTTAGTCATGCATCCCTAATTGTGGTGTTCAGCTTTGAATGGTACCTTTTCTCCATGCCTTCACGGCTAAAACCGTCTGTAAACCACCACCATGATTCATTGCTGAAATACAAGAGCTGAGCATTATCAGACCAATTTCAAATTAAATCAGATGTCTTGCTATTTTCAATTAAAATAGTCATAACCCTAGCAAATATTTTTAAGCTTTTATTATGTAGTCTTCTCTTATCTTCCATTGTAATTCTTGTCCCAGAACAAAACTGCTTACAAACCAAAGGTAACCCTCACAAAAGGTTTCAACAGAACAACTACTAAGAGTCGATTATGTATTTATTTCTTTTTAAACAAGCTTCATTATTCTTTAGGCAATTATAACCAGCTGTCATCTTTAACCTGTCAGGCATCCAAAAGACTGGAAAGCTGAAGTTCAAATTCTATACATTTCAGTGGCACAGAGCTGGGCAGAGCTGATCTCAGTGCAAGAACATTAAGACTCTCAAATCCCTTCAGAAGGATACGGACGGGCAGCCTGGGGACAGGGCTACACCCAGGTTGGAGAAGATTCTGCCCGCTGCCGCTGCCAGCCTTTCCCTTCCTTTATTCACCCACGGGGTTCCCTGCTGCCTCCCTCCTTCCCTCCCCTCCACAGCTCTGCCACGGTCAGGCACCCCACACCAGGAGACCCGAGGGAAATCACCTCCCAGCCATGTGCTGGGTGAGAAGCTACAGGGGCCACAGCTGGAAACATCAGCACTTACTGCACCTCGCCGGGCTGCGAACAGCAGCCACATGAGTACGCCTACTACTGCACCCGCTCTTCTTTCAACAGTGCTTTAGTTTTGAGAGACTTCATTTAACGCCTGGAATGTCGACATGATTTGGGGGGACGTTTTTGCTCATTTATCACCTTTACTGAAACTAGAAAGCTAGTTCAATAGTTAAGGCTTTACTTAAAACAACAGACTTTGATTCAGATAACGTGGCTGTACAACATTCAGACTCAACTGAAAGCCACATCCATCATTTCAGTGTTTGCAACCCACACACTCCAGCGTTTTTGTTAGTGTACAACGCCCAACTTGCTTCTCCCTACCCTTTTTTCTGCCTGCTCCCAATAATTTTAATGATCTGAAATATTTGTAGCACAAATGCACTGGATTTGGCCTCTTCCCATGCTCCTTCCCAACTTATTTCCTTTTTGTTCAGCTTGCTTTCCTTGCTCTCTCTGAAGAACATCCTGCATTTCTGTTTCCTACCTGCCGAAGAGATCTTCAAGAAATATCTTTGAC